CAGACAGATAAATTACAAGGCTATTGAAGTGTGACCCTCTAGTGTGTTGCACCTTAAAGTGGAAAACTTCAAATTCTAAAATCTGCCTACAATTTGCATAAAAGGCAAAACAGAATATTTCAGAAGAAAGTGTCAGAAATACTGTCTGATGCACTAAAAAACTTTCAACCTTGATCACAAACCTTTGTGAGAGAAATACAATGGGCAAGTATGAGGAAAATGTGTGAATAGGATATGGGGTGGGAAAAATATATATCCAAACAAAAAGAATAATATTAGGAAAATGTTCAAAGTGCTATCGCTTGTGTCTAAAGCATAGCAAGGTTCAAAATCCACAGTCACAAATTAAAAGGAGGGATGGTTTAAAAAATGGAAAAGCTGACAGACTTTCCTAAATGGCCCCAGGCTTAGAGAGAGGTTGCCTTTAAGAATGTCAGGCAAACCCCACAGAGAGCCCCAGCAGGCACCTTCAGCAGCTGAACTAACCTCACCCCTTGGCCCAGTTAACCCTCCTGACTCTGGGGAATGTTCCGAGCACAGCCAAAGACTGCACAGTAAGAATAATTTCTCCAGTTGCTGCCTGTGCCCGCGATTGCCTCAGCTCAGCACTTGGTTCCTGAGAAGAGGTCAGTGGCCTTTCTAAGGGTGGCACAGCAAATGTTTTCAGTCATCTACACCTTTGTGTGGATGAACTGCAAGCTCTGACTTGAAAAAGTCTGCCAGCAAAAAGGAGCAGAGAGGCAGGGCATCGGGCACCGTGACTGAGTAAGAAGAGGACGCATCTGCTCACTGGAAGATGCCAATGCTGATGGCAAGCAGTGCCTTTTCACGATTCCCCCTGAAGATTAGCCAGTATGCTCTGATTAATAATGTGGTATGTTGAAAAGGGTTATAGGTGTGTGTGCAGGCACACAATAAATACATGAAAGAGGACTACTAATGTGCATTGACCTCTTGCCATGCACTAAGCATTGTTCTTAGGTTCATTGTACTATTTAATTTCTGAATCATGCTATGGGGGTTAGGGTAAATAGTCTCATTTTATAAGTGAGGAAGCAGGTTTAAAAATGTTTCATAGAGGAAGACAATGCAGCCATTCCTGATGAGACCTGATAGACTAGGATCAGCGGGAAGGGAAGAAGGACCTCCCTTATCAGGGGCTGGGGGAGGGGCATGGATGGAAAAAAAGGGAAGGAGGGTGGGGTTGGGAGGGGAGGACAGAGGAAGCTACAGAGGGGATACAAAGTGAATAAACTGTAATTAATAAAAATAAAAATAAAATGTTCCATAGAGCGAATGACCAGAATGGCAGGAATTCAAACACTGAAGTCAGTGCCACTTTAACCAGTGTGCACCAACATGAGCTGCAATGGATTACACATGCACACAGAGAGACAGACACACACAAGAGCCACACCAAGGGAGTAAAAAAACCCCATTCCAAGTTCCCATTCTTCTGATTTTGCCCAACCTTCGTACACAAAATTTGAGTCAAGAAATGAAGCACAACAGAGGGGGTGGGGAATGAAAGGTAAATACAGTCTTGATGTGTGGAACATTTGTCAAAGGTGGTGATGAGGAACCAAGAAGAAGTTGCCGTGTCACTATGATGCTAACAACAAAACTGCAACCTCCTAAAGCCAAGAAGAACTGATTTCAGTTCAATACAGTTTTGCAAATTCAGAGGATCGTTTATACTTTACGAGGATCGTTGCCTAAAGTCTCTGGGTAGAAAAAAATGTGTTCAGGTCTGTGACAATCATTTACAAGGCGTCCCCTGTTTCCAACTAAAGTGTCACAACTCCATGTTTCTCTAGTCTGTATTTTTTCAAACTGAACAGGAGTGTTATGTGCACAGGAAACATCCAACAAAAGCCTATCAGAGTCCAGAGGGGTAGATATGGCATGTCCATTAAACACCAGCTTTACTCAAAGAGAATCACATAGAATATTTTTTAAACAAGGAAGTACATGTGATTAAATTAGAATAAAAGGCAAAATGTGTGTTTCTAAAATAAAGCCCCAAACTTCAAGTTTAAAATTCACTGCTTTGGGGCAACACAGCTGGACACTGAGGTCTCCCTCCCAAGCCGTTTTCGTTACTTAGAAAGATGTGCACAGAAAGCTATGCAGAAAAGCACAGGTGCAGGTATTTGACCTGCATTGTGGGCCACTGGGATTAATAATTAGAAAAGCACCAGATCAAGGTGGACTGTTATCTTCATGCACCATTACACAGCACTGGTACATCTTTTTAGCTTCGAGTTCATTAACAGCTTATTAGCCTAGTAGGCCCTCAGGAGCCATAGCAGCTAAGGGTGCCTCCTTCCCTCCCTTACTCCTTCTCATGACAGGTATGCTATGCTGCATTTTATTAAACCATTTGATCCCAAAACAAAGACATTTTTCTAGCATTTTTTCAACAAATTAGAATTTAAAAAAAAAAAAAAACTTTTTGAAAGTTGCTTTTGTGTTCTACCATCCCAAACCTTGGCCTCACATATAACTACCCTTCAAAACTTTTTGGAAATGCAAAGCACATCGAATGAACAAATGAAAGGCCTCTTCTTGATCATAGAAAATGAACCCACCTTGTACTTAGAGCACAGCAGAGCTGGCCTTGTCTACTCTCTGAATGGATCATGCCCTCGCCAAGGTGGTGCTACCTTAGGCAAACAGAGAAGTAACTCTGAAATATTTTTAAACTTATTGATCCTGACCCTAGAGCAAATGAGTATCCCACTCTCCCTACAGAACATTAAGCTTGAAAAACTTTGTCAGCCTGGACAAATTGTCTAAAGGAGCTATCCAGCCACTGAACTAGAAGGGACCTTATACCTTTGTTAAGACTCTAGGAAAGCTGAACACAACCCATATGTCCCTCAACAGAAGAATGGATAAAGAAATTATGGTACATTTACACAGTGGAATACTACTCAGCTATTAAAAATCAGGAAAACATGAAATTTGCAGGCAAAGGGTGGAAACTAGAAAAGATCATCCTGAGTGAGGTATCCCAGAAGCAGAAACACACACATGGTATATACTCACTTATAAGCGGATATTAAACATATAATATAGGATAAACATACTAAAATCTGTACTCCTAAACAACAAAGGAGACTCTAAGGAAGATGCTCAATCCTCATTCAGAAGGACAAATGCAATAGAAGCAGGAGAAGACAGGGAACATGACAGGAGCCTTCCTTCCACAGACAGCCTCTGAAAGACTCTCCTGATTGAGATATCGAAGCAGAGGCTGAGACTCATAGCCAAACTTGGGGCAGAGTGCAGGGAATCGTGAAAGAAGGGGAGATAGAAAGACCTGGAGGGGGCCGAAACTTCACAAGGAGACCAACAGAGCTAATAAATAAATAAATAAATAAATAAATAAATAAATAAATAAATAAATAAATAAATAAATAAATAAATGAATGAATGAATAGATAAATAAATAAATAAATAAATCTGGGCCCTCGGGACCCTGAAGAGAATGATACCCCAACCAAGGACAATGCATGGAAAGGACCTAAAACCCATGCTCAGATGTAGCCCATAGACTCAGTCTCCAAGTGAGTTCCCTAGTAAGGGGAACGGGGGCTGTCTCTGGCATGAACTCAATTGCAGGCTCTCTGATCACCTTCCCCTGGGGTGTGCAGCCTTGCACAGAAGAAGACAGTCAGTTCTGATGAAACCTGATAGGTTAGGGTCAGATAGAAGGGGAGGACCCTCCCCTGTCAGTGGACTCTAGGAGGGGCACAGGGGGAAAAAAGGGAGGAAGGGTGGGATTGGGAGGAGATGAGGGAGAGGGCTACAGCCAGCAAACTGAATAAACTGTAATAAATGATTACAAAAGAAAGACTCTAGGCACACTCACAGCGCAGGCATACATGGGCCTTCAACTAATAATTTCCCTTATCAAACTTCTGAAAAGGGCTCTGTGACTTTTTCACTGCACCTTTTGTTAACAGAAGATCTAGTCTAAAAAGAAATATCTATAGGATGCAAAACAAAATGCCAGTCAAGCTCCAAGGCAGGCCAAAGACGGCACATGCATAGGTGCTAACACCAGCGGAAGAGGCTTTGTGAAACTGACTTCAGTAGCTGTGTATTTGGACTCCAGCTGAGGAAATGTGATTCATTCATAGCTAGTAATGTTATAATCCCTGTAACAGGCCGTATCTCAGAACTTCAGTTCTCCCACCATAAATGTGACAGTATTATACTGATTCATCCCAGGTGACTCTCATATAAAGGTCTAACCTTAAAAATATAACCAGCATGAATGCAAATAGATTTTATTTATCCAAATTTTACCAATCATAGGCAAACTCCTTCAATCTACTCCTGCTCGGGGAAAAACCAAACCAAACCAAACCCACACATTCTTGTCTCACTCTATCACTCCACAGGCTCCCATTTGTAGGAATGTTTAGCCCAGTGGGGTGGAAGGTCACACAGTCAAAGATCAGCATATATTCTGCTTTGGGATGTTTGCTTGATTAAGTGAGCTTCACCCAACATGGAAGATGGCTTGCACTTAAGGAACCATCAAGTCAGCAGAACGCAGTGAAATTGAACCTCAGTGGCTCACTCTCACAAATCAAACACATAAGCTGTGCCATTGTGCACACTGTGTACAGATATACACATGCAAAGAGAATTTGTACTCCACACATTTAGTTTCCAATAACCCAGCAGTTAGCAGGAAAGCACATTGCAGTTCTTCCACTGTATTCTGTTTGGGTGAGAAGGAAGCACTCCAATTTCATGGTGTGTGGAAGAGGGAACCCATTTGAGTTGACAAAATTCACCATAGTGATTCTTAAAAGTGGAATTTCTGTATCCTGTAATCAGGAGTTGCTGGGTATTTGATTAAATACCCCAGGCATTTGATCCCCAGCTCTACTGCCATTTCTTCCCTGATTATCAAGCTAGAAAAATTAAACCCAAAAACCCAGATAAACAAAATGTATATTTTAATACAGAAATGCTTTTACCTGCTATCCTGCTGTGAATGAAATGGGCCAAGCTCTCAAAATGTTTGTCAGCTTAACTCGCAGTTGGTGGCACTGTGAAAATGTAGCCAGGCGGCCTTATTGCTACTTCTGTCCTTTAGCTGCCAAGTGGAATACAATAGAAACATCAAAGAGAAATAGAAGAGAGGGGGAGTCCAGAAAGACCCCAAAGGATGATGAGAAACAAGCAAATAAAATATTTCCAAGCTGAAGACATTGTATTCTGCCATGTTGGCATCTCCGACAGCTCAAACACTAAAGACAAGCATGCCTCACTGAATTTTCACTTCCCCAAATTTTCTAGGAAATATTCACCTTGAAAAATCCATAAAACGTGCTTAACCTAGAACGAAAATGGCTGCACCATACCGCTCAGATATAAATAACAAATATTCAGTATCTCATGAGAGATTCCACTTTAATATTCTGGGTAGACATGAACAGACTGTTTTCATTTTGGTTTCCACAATATGTGTGCCAAATGAAAAGCGCTAGACACTAGTGCATTCTGAACTGGGTGCACAGGTTTCAGTAACTGTTCTCAGGTTTAGGTCCTGTGTCATCTCACCTTTGGTGGTTGTACTTTTTACTCTTCTCACAAAGTCACTTCACTATTGGAACAGTGCACATTCGGTTATTACTCATCACAAAAATCTCTATTTCCTATTTGAACCTCAAAGCACTCAAAAGGATGCTATTGTCTTTGGTTTGTTCACTTTGAAGAATTTATACACCGGTTATTAAACCTCAGCAAGGAGTAAAAAATAGCATGGCCTTTGTCCCCAAAGAGCTGTAATGTATACCATTTTTGCTTCATTTTTATTCTTTGTATGTAATTCTGAGTTATACATGCTAATGAATACGGAAAAGAGTAAAAACATTTTGATTTCTACATAAAATCATTAAACAGACTAGTTTTAAACATTTCAAAGGAGCCACAGTTCAGACAAGGCATGTGAAGCATGCTGGAACAGTAATCGAATTAAACGCAGTTTCATGGCACACGATAAAATCTTACCTCATTAAATGGAAAATCCAAAAACTTTCAGTTATTCTGTGAACAATTCTGTGCCCGCTGGTGGGTTGTGTTGCACAGAACAGTGACACGGGGTACAACCAGAGTCAGCATACTGTGTAGGTGACCAAGTTTCAGTAAAGATTGTACGCAGCCTTTAGTGATTCAGCCAAACTAAAACGTTTAGGCTAAACAAAAGAGAATGAGGGTTTTTTTTAAAGTTGTCAATTAAAAAAATATCAATGCCAAGATCATCATGTTCATTACTATAAACTAGCAAGCCTTTTGTAGTTTGACATTTTATAGTCAATTTCTGATTGCACAAATGAGTTTCTTTCAGCTATATCTCCTGCTAGCCAGATTAACGTGGTCACTTGGCTATTTTCTGTTTTTAAGCACGAATAACCCTTTCTGGGCATCAACTCTGCTCAAATTCATTGTATTTTCAAAAATTTCCCACATCACTCCCCAGGAGGAAGACAACATGACAGAACCAGAACCCAGGCCCCAGGACTGAATACGTGGGCACTGCCACTGACAGATGAGCATGCCATCATGTGAGCCAAGCCTAATTGCTACAATTATGCTTTTGTTTAGAAAGTAAGTTGAACATTATCTATTATAACTTGATATATATATGCATGTGTGCGTTGATAGCAGGTTTTCCTACATGCAACATCCTCTGCTTCTTGCAGTCAGCTCAGACTTTGTCTCTTCTTACCTTGTTGAGAGACGGAAGAGCAGCTCATAATAGGATGAGCGATGTGTAAAATGTTCTTCAGCTGACTTAACACAGGATTTATAGTTGCCAAACCAGGAACACCTCTGCCTGTGCAGATGGACTGCTAAGTGATGCGGTAAAACAACCAAGGACTTAGGAACAGCTTTGGTTTTTTTCCTTTCAACTTTCAGACATCCAGAGGAAACTGTAATGTAAACACACACGCAAGTTGAGTGTGTGTCTAAAAGCCACAGTACAAATTATATGGGGAAAACAGAATTTAAGCATAAAGGTTAGTGATAGGCTCCTACTTTTAAGTGAAATTACTTGAATGTTGGGACTGTTTTCCTTAGAAATTAACAGGTTATTGTATTCATATCAGGAATTTAGGAGGGAGAGGTCCACATTATATGATACATTTATCCCCCCACACACACACACAAAAGCTGAATCTGAACTACAAAGGGAATGCCGAACAATTGTGCTATTTTTTTTTAAATTTACAAACACACTTTTATGCAAATCTATGAAAACTGAATGATACCAAACTATATGCTCAGATTATCACTAAATTTCCACACTTACAGTTTGGAGAAGTTAGCATTTTTTTTTTTGAAGTAAAGTGTCATGTCACACTTGTTTCCAATCTAAATTTAGTCTCTGTTCCTTGTGCCATATTTCCTCAGGCATGAGAAGGAAAATCAATGCCCCTACTCACCTTTGGAAGAATTTCACTGCCAAGTCTCCACGGTTCTATGGGATCCAATAATCCGTGGCTCAGTATCGATTTTTTCTGTGACACCTGTAGAAACAGCCTCTCCTTCCTTTCTAACAAAATACAGCGACAAAGACTGTGTAGATTCTGAACAAATTAAGCGTATAGGCTATTAAGCACAACTTAATCTTCTAAGGAGAAAGGGTTTGTATTTTCTGAAGCTGTTAACGTTGCTAGCTTTTTTCCTAAACCACTTACCAACCATTAAAGATAATGTGAGTATTGGTTTTGAAGAGAGTTTCAAGGTAATATTTTTCTTAGGTTTCTCACAGTGGAGTCATATCACCAATAACTTATCTCCCCCCCCCTTCCCCACAAACCAGATACTTTGGAGGAAATAGACAATTGATTTAAAAAAAATATCAAAGTTCAAGTTTTAACTTTTAAAAGACAACTCTAAATTCAAGTTGGTTTTAATATATGAAAAACCATGATCTTGCTTTTAAGATTTAAAGCTTAGAAGTTTGGTGAGGTACAGAGAGTCTGGGAAAGCCTGGGTAGGAGTATTTGTCAAATTCTAAGAGAGATTGGTTTGGGTATTAAGGTGTGTTTTAAGTCTTAAGCCACCAGCTTCCCCAATTTCCTCGGCAGGCCTAAGTACAAGAAAAGAAAAACACAGGCAACAGTTCAAGTTTCTAGCTCCCTTCACACACCTGGTTTCAATCTCACAGGTACCTCAGTCACCCTGGGCAGCTGTCTCTGGGGCATGTCTGAGTACATTCCCTGCAGCCATCCTGTGCGGAGTGCAAAGGCGGCTGTTAAAGCACTTCCTCACTCACTCCAGGAGCCTGAGATCTGCAAAATAAAAGTGCACTGTTAACAGAGATGCCCCTCTGCATTTGCTATCCCAGTAAAACAGAGGGAGGAGACCGCAAGGCAGGATGCCTCTCGCGATGTAGGTGACATCTTGGTTAAAAGTGACATGACCAAGGCAGCACTCTGACAGATTTAGCGTTAAGACCTGACAGATATAAGCCCGCAAGAACCTCCCTGCCACACATAGTTAAGCTCACATAAAAACCTTGATTTGATAGTCCCTTGATTAGCTTTTGCTACACTCAGTGCTACCCCTTTCAAGTTCATTATAAATTATGCTACTCATCACATTATCGTCAATTTCGGGTCCATTTTACTAGAACGCAGTCATTTCAACCATTCATCAAACCTGTGAACAACTTTCAGTTAAAGAATTAGATCAATCCACATTCCAGTTCTCAAGGGAGAAGTTCCATTGTTTATCAGGCCATGTCTACACTGGCTGAGCAAAGCGCTCTGTTCAGAAGGAGAAGCGCCTTTGGCAGCTAGAGTCCACATAGCTGACCCATGGATGATCAGGAGGTGCTCCTGTACCTAATTACCCAAGTATAAGGAAATCACTGAGCGTCACGTGAGGATGACCCCTGACAACGAGGAAGTGTGACGTGACTGTTGTTCTAATTGGTTTACAGTGCAATCACCTAGAATGTGATACGAGGAGCTAGAAGAACACGTGTGCATCCGGCACAAGTGATGGCTACAAATATGAAAACACTCCTGGGCTCCATAGTGAGCTGGACCTTGATCCTTCTTCTAGACAGCACAGGCATGGTACAATCTTTCCTGAGTAGTTAGGATTGAGTTCAAAACCCTACCTCTTTACACAGCAAAACCTTCACAAAAGACAATTTTGTTCTTAAAAAAGAAAAAAAAAAAAAAAAAACAGGACAAAAGCAATCAGCATTTGGAGTCGATATTTACACTCTGATGACTTGTATTGTCAAGACTTAGTACCAAGTTTGGGTGAATTCTATTCTGGGGTGAATTCTATTCTGGTGACAGAATGGCCTAGAATTGTCATGAGTGCTGGGATTGTTTCAACCTTTTTTTTTTTTTTTTTTTTTAAGAATAAAAAGAGGTTTAGCGGAAATGTTCTCCTAAGAGCTATACAAGTATAGGCTTTCCCTTTCATACACTCAAACATACTCCACCCTGTGAAATAACAAATATAAAACTAATCACCTTTGGAATTTTGCCAACCTTTTTCATTGATGAGCTGGCAGAGTTGGGCCAATCTGCCTTAAAGTCATAAAGCATATCTTACCCCATGAAAGTCCTCTAAAGACTTCCTGAAATCCAGTCTGAGACTTTACAGAACACAGAACACAGAAGTGAAGACTTGAATGTGTGGGAATCCATCAGATCTAAAGTGATCAGATAAACCACAGCATCTTCCCAAGATGAATTATGAAGATGAAATGCTTCATTTTAGATTCCTAATCACTTGGCCTTTGCAGGGAAGAATATTTCCAACTTTCTGAAATGTCAAGATTGACAATTTCTTGCTGGTGTGCCTGTGTGTATCTGTGTATTTGTGTATGTAGCATTCATACTCATTCATGTGGTTGAACATATAGAGATTAGAGGTTATTATTAAGCACTTCCTTAACTACCGTTCACCTTTTTTTGGGGGAGGAGAGGATCTCTCAGTGAACCTGGAGCTTATTGATTTACCTGGGCCACCTGGCCAGGAAGCCTCAGAGACCATCCTGGTCTGCCTCTCCGTCACTGAGCTCACAGGCACACATTCCATGCCAGCTTTGTGGAATCTGAACTTGGGTCTCCATGCTTGCATCGCAAGCACTTTGATGATTGGATCATCTGCCCATTCAGACTCTTGAAATAAATTTTCAGTCTCTCTGTTTCAGTTTGAAAATCATGCAATTTATTTGTTATATTAAATCCCCTTTGGCTAGGTGAAAAAATGTAACTTAACACAGGGACATGTAATATATTTGGTTGATTAGATTTTCATTTGCAACTTCAATGAGATAAAGCCAATGAGTTCCAGACCGGTAGTTCTCAATCTTGCTAATGCTGTGACCCTATAGTATAGTTCCTCATGTTGTGGTGACCCTCCCCAGCTATAACATTATTTTGTTGCTACTTCATAACTGTAATTTTACTACTGTTCTGAATAATAATGTAAATATCAGATATTTGAGAATTGATTTGAGAATTGTCAGGGACCACCTGAGGGAACTCGCCAACTTCAGAGACCACCTGTGGAAGCTTACCAACTTGCCTCAATTTGCCTGTTCCCTTACCTGCAGTAAACATACTGCTTGGAGATGCCCGTTCCCTTACCTGCAGTAAACATACTGCTTGGCAACAGCAGAGATGTGCTCACAGAACCATGGCTTATCACAAGATGTTTCAGGCCCCTGGCCGAGAAGAATCTGTAATTTTTCACCCACCCTACTTCCTTATCCTGAACCCTATTTAAAGCTGATTCTGTTTAGTAAAGTTAGTCCTTGACAAGCACCTGTTTGCTTGGACTCGTTTCTCTTTCTCGCCCATCTTTTCACAGGTTTGGATTCTCTTTTAACCCGCGAATAACCTTAGCTCCGCTGGCCGGAGCAGAGAATCACTGTCCTAGACCAACTAAAGAGTCTCATAGTCACTGAAATTCATCTAATAGGAGTTGTGTTTTACATTTTCTCCCATGTGAGTCCTGAGAGTATCTAAATACAGAGAGCCTCTCCCACTGCCAGTATCTCCACCACATCTCCTAAGAAGATCATGAGGATGGCTGGAAAGCAAACACCTACACAGTGCACTTAACTCTGTTGGCTTTCTGCAGTGTCTATGCTTCTACTGCATAGACATATGGCTGTCTGAGGCATGGGTCACCAATCTGAAAGTTCTCAATTCCTGGAACCTTGAGCAAAAAGGTGATTTCTTTATATTGGCTCTTTTCTTCCTATCTGAATGAAATCAACTGGCTTGAAACTAAAGTGATGTTGTGATCTGTCCTGACCACTATGCTTATTTGGCTACTTCCCGTTCACATAAAAATAACTAAATAGAACCTTCTAGGAGACCATTGACCTGAATGTCACCTATGGAAGCAGGCCCTCTGAGGTCATATCCTGGCCCTGTCTTTGCAAGCTGGATGTGTTATTTTATCTCCTCATGAATTGGCTTCCTTGCCTACAAAATAGGAATAAAAATGACTATACTGAGAATTAATCTATGCTAAATGCTTACCTCAGTGCAGGGCACATTGAAGAACACTTAGTTTATGTGCACGAGCCTCTAGCTCTGATGAGGCATCTGCAGTCAAAAGCCGTCCTTTTGGTGAGAAAGTACACACTTCAGAGAAGGCTGAGGTGGACACAGGGAATCCCTTTCAGCACAGGGACAGCATGACTTTAAAACTGTATTGTCACCCATAGCGACACATAACTTCATTCTGCAGAAACATATGGATCACATGGACTGTGTCAAAATCACCTAAGGATGTTAGACGTTTATCTGACAAGCCAGAGAAAGCTGCATCTATACAGGAAGGAAAGGTTTGAAGTACTGCGACAAGATGACTGACTTAATTGTTCTCGTATATCATGAGCCAGACTTCAACACATAGTCATACAAGTCCATTTGGTCCAGACAGTGGTGACAAAAGTTTAACAACTATTCGGTTTGAGTGTGTGCCCTTTATAGCTGTTTCTTTATTTCCAGCTTCCCTTCTCGGAACTCTGTCAGCGGTTCTCAACCTTGGTAATGCTGCGACTCTTTAGCACAGTTCCTCATGTTGGGGTGACCCCCAACCATAAAATTACTTTTGTTGCTACTTCAGAACTGTAACTTTACTACTGTTATTAATTGTAATGTAAGTGGGTTTTGTTTGGTTTGGTTTTGGAGATAGAGGTTTGCCAAGGGGATCATGACCCACAAGTTGAGAAGCACTGCCAGAGTACTTAGATGCCTTTGGGGCCACATTGCTGTCTTGAGAAAGGCTGTCAAGGAACCCCAAGTAAAAATAAATATCCCAGGCTGGAGAGATGGCTCAGTGGTTAAGAGCACTGCCTGCCCTTCCAGAGGACCTGAGTTCAATTCCCAGCAACTACATAATGGCTCACAACCATCTCTACTTGGATCTCGACGCTCTCTTCTGTCATGCAGGTATACATGCAGATAGAGCATTCATATACATAAAATAAATAAATAAATCTTATTGAAAATAAATATCCCAAAGTAAGAGTAATACAAGTTTTAGGAAAAAATTGTAGGTTTTTGTGCCCATTTCTATGACACTGTATCTTAAGTGAAACACTAACACACACACACACACACATTGGAATGAACTAAAACTTCTTTCCCTTTGGTCCTAAAATGGACATTGTCACTAGATAGCATGAAAAGCTCAGAGGCCCAGCAGGAGAGCCAAAGAGAAGCTATTTTGGGTCATTTCCCCCAGGATACACCGAGGTGCCTTAGCAGATTGCGTGCCATCCAATGAGACAACCAATTTCTGGTCCCCAAGAGGCTGACAGTGAGAGGCTCCTATATGTAAGTCTTCCTGCCTCAGAGATCAGACATTACCTGATAAACCCAAGGAAAGGAAAACCTTAATGTACAAAGCAGCACCTTAGTCCAGAATTATGGTCTTGATAAAGGGATGTATAAACAGCCTCATCTGATATGATCGAAGAAATGGTGAAGCAAAGGCCAGCCAATCTCTCTCATTTTTTTTAATCCTACAGGCATCTCTTCACAAATTCTTCCCCATCAATATCCAGGCCTCTCCTCAGATAGAAGGGACCTGTCACTTTATGTTCTAGGAGACTCTCATTGTGAAGTGAGGTCTTGGCAATATTCAGCCACTAGATGAGGATGGTGTGTCCCCAAGGTACCAACTGCCATTCAAGGGCAGTTCTAAAATTAGAACCATTGGGAGGTCAAGAGTGGTTGAAGTCTTAGGAAAACATTACGTTTCCTGCTATCAGTTCAGCATAAATGCCTTAA